CGTTTGTTTTTCATCCAAAACGAATAAAAAGGTTTCCCTCCAAATTCCTAGAAGCGTATTTAGAGCCTACCTGTAGGTTATTTAAGAGGGGAGGGGGTCTTGGAGTTGATTTTCAGAGTCGACAAACAGCTGTTCTAGGAACCCAGGTCGCCCTTGTCCAGAAAGAACAACACGGAAGAAATTTGATAATCACCAGACGAGAATTGAAAGGAACATCAAAGTCGCTCCCACACCAAAGGAAAGTCTTCGGCTGGTGTATCTGTTCACTTCTCTCAGAGTAGTATTTTCTTCATTTCATGTCTTCTTTTCTGAGTTTTATGTAGGTTTATTATTGTAAAAAGTCACATTTAATTTTCATTGATAATTTACATGCATGTCGTTGGACATCATTTGGCACAGAATGCACTTAATTTGTGTAATTCATACATTTTTGTGTGTTAATAAATTTATGGTCTGTTTTAAAACTCGGCTCGTGTCGTCTGACTTTGTTCTGTGCTGATATAAATTAAATGTTACCTCAAAAATTTGTTTGAAATATTTTTTCGTGGGGTTTCGTAGGATTTCCTATAGGATAACGTTATTTTATTTTTTTTATCTATCAAGAGCAGTTTTGAAAAAATGATGTATGACAAATTAGAAAAAGTTTTTTTGTGACGCGTTTCATCCGTTAGGACTTCATCATTTGTTTACGTTGTTGTAAGTACACATGCGCCAAAATGGGAGACGCTGGGAGTTTCAAAATTTTACAAAACGCCTTGGTTGTTCACCGTAAAGAAACTGACCACAATTTTGACATAAAAAATGCTTCTCTAATTAAAAGAGAAAATAATTCATGTCGTGATAAACAATGTAAATAAAAATTAATGTTCTTGCATGTGCCGTGTCCCTTCAGGACGTTGGCGATCATGATTCTCCACAATTTCCTCTTCTTCACTCTTTGTGAATTTTGTCTTTTTGCTATGTCTACTAAACCCTGTTCTGCCATCCATTTACACAAGCCCATTCTTCTCCTATCTACCGTGTCCATTCAGGACGTTGGAAATCATGATTCTCTACAATTTGCTGTTCTTTCTAGCTCTTTATAAATTTTGTCCTTTAGTTAGCTCTCCTAATTCCTGTTCTGCCATCCATTTACACAAACTTACGAGGTAGATTATGTACTGATTTTCTCTGTTCCACTTTGCTTTCAATATGTAATGTGAATGTCAAATTTTCCAAGCCCTCTTTCCTCATTATGTGCCCTAGAAATTTCAACTGTCTGTTTCTGATGTTAAGTATGTGGTTCTACAGAAGGATACTGAGAATACCATGGATTGGACTATAACAAATGGAAACAAAAATGTGCTTTCACACATCCTCCCTGTGCTTTTTCTGCAAATACTTTCAACGTATTTTACCAGATATTTACTTTATGCCTACATGTAACCATCAATTCATTTCTCTTGTTTAATAAGTTAGGTTTATTTAAGTGTTTTAAGATAACTAATTTTTCAGCAAGACATAAATTACATCTATTTCATTTCCTGTTGTAAGATTTTGATCCTGATACAATATCCCAGGTGATAAAAGGTGAACTATTACCACTATTCTTTAATTACCAGAAATATTTAAAGAGAGAAATACTATTTTTGTATTTAAAATTGCCTAAAGTCATTCGATGACTGTGGAAACGAAATTTCCAATCATTTTTAGTGGAACCAAAATGAAATTTAACATCTTTACCGGAAAGTATCTCGGTATACAATATTATCAGTCATACATTGGTCGTTTATAGAACAGTTATGTTTTCGACAGTAGCATTTATTTAAAAAAAATGAACGTTGTCTTTGTTGGCAATATATTTATTTAATGTAATGATGTAAAATTTAAAAAAAAAATCTGTAATCCCAGTATAATATATAACTGCACCAACATTACGATAATCTGATATTTTTATTAAAATTACGTAATGGTCAGTCTATACTCAGCGCTTGAAGATTGCGTTGTGCATGAAACTCCGAGTCGTACTATCGGTGAGGGATAATATATACTTAGTAGCTCTGTTGTATTACATTGAGCACTTTTTTTTCACACCAGCACATTTGTATATATATATATATATATATATATATATATATATATATATATATATATATATATACAAATTTCCTTAGCATATCAGATGATAACCAGTCGGAGAGTGATTCCTTGCGCCTTCTTGGGTTAACGTTTTAAACTGACATGGTGATTATATTGGATCTGTCACTAGGTCACCTGCTAGAAAAGTTGGTTCACTGTGTTGTGTCAAACAACTTTTCTCTCCTGAATCTATCTTACATATTTATAAGTCTACCATACGTCCATGCTTTGAATATTTCTGTCTGGTGCTCCTGCTATATATTTAGAGATTCCTGATAAAATCCAAAGAAGAATTTGCAATGTTATTGGTCCTGACATGGCATCTTAGTTTCATCCACTTTCCCAGAGCCGTAACGTAGCTTCCCTGTGCCGTTTCTATAAATACTTTCATGTTATTGGTTCAGATGAACTTTCCATTGAGATACGTACATGAATTTAAGCGCTGTACTAGATTGGTGGCAAGATCTCATCATTTTACACTTGAAATGGCTAGATGTAACCGTAAGTTCTATGCTAACAGTTTCTTCTATCGCTCTTTTTGATTGTGGAACTCTCTTCTGGCTTTCCAATCAACTGTGATCTTCAAAAATCCAAACGCAATCAATCATTATCTTTTGTCTTCTTTATTTATGTCTTTTTTTTATTTTCCCCACTTCTTAATATTGTTTTTATTTTTTCTGATATTCTTTCACACTCAGTAACCGCCTGCATCTTAGCACTGTGAATTAACAATATGTGACTTCCCGTTGACATATGGACAGACTTGACTTCAAAGAATGCCATCGAAGCAGATGCATGTTAATTATGTTGGCATTGAATTGCACAGTACTTTGGCCCCACCCATTTTCAGTGTTCCACACTGAGAAACTTGAGGTGTTGAGAGGTCAGACAGTTTAATGCACCAACAGATGTTAAATTACACCAATACGTGTGTCTGTGTATATATATATATATATATATATATGTGTGTGTGTGCATCAAAAGTGAAATACTGACTTATTCCTCCAGGAAGTTTTTGTTTTGAAGCCATGCCCCTTCAAGACCTAAGCGACTATGGCTCTCCACAAGTTCCTTTTATTAATTACTTGGGAATTACCTTGGATTCTTATGTCCTAGGTATGATGATAATCTACATCCGGCAGCAAGGCCTTTGATCGGGAGTCTTTGAGGAGCATGGAAACACCTCTTAATTGGTGTTGTTCCCAGGTCCACTCTGACCTGGGGTTGAAGCACCTGTTAGGGGTCCCAACCATGTGAAAATATTGAACTTCCAAACTGGGCTCAAAACACTATGAAAGCATAAAAATACTTTTTTTAGAGTATAAATTTTCAGCAACAGTTTTTAATAGTAAAAATTTTTAACCAAACCTCCCAAGAAAATTAAATTTCGTCATTAAATGACCCATAAGGAGTTTATATGCTGTTAAACAAACAAACCAATCAATCTATCAAGACGTGAGTGATCATGGTACTCCCCAACTTCTCATCCTTTGTAGCTCTAAGCCACGTTTGTCTCCTTATTGTCTCTCACAATCCCTGTTCTGCCATTTAGTTACACAGTCTAAATAGATTACGCGTCGTTTAGCTCTGCCTCTCTTGTCCTGTGAGTGTTAAATTCTCCAAACACTCTTTCCCCATGATGTGTCCCAGAAATGTCTCTGATTGTAAACACGTCTTTTCTTCCGCATTTTCATTCACACTTCCTCATTGCCCACATAATGCATCCATGATATTCTCCTTATTATTCTATAGAACCACATCTCAAGTGTCCTATTCATCTGTGTGGAGATTGTACAGCATTATCACTTTAAACGTTATTCTTTAGTTGATGCTCGTATTTAGGTAGACAAGGAATTAATATGCCATTAAACAAATAAACAAACCTTGACTTCTTTGTAATGTTAGACGGGTGGGTTTCAAATTGCTTTCTTTATGGTTTTGAATTCTGCGTAGTCCTAAACTTGCCCGAAAACTCATTTAACACTGATATTTTACCCGTAGTTGATTGTTGTGGGGGCGGATAAATATATTTCTGTTTTTTTTTTCTATGGTGTTAGTGCAAAATTAAAGCAACAGGCTAGACTGGAAGTTGAACCTGACTCGCAGATTACCTTTTTCAAATCGATAGCAGTCACGCTACACGTACAGGGTGCGATGGATAAATTGTCTAAATTACGCAAAAATGAAAATAACACTGTTATCGCATTTTAACAGATATATTTACCAAAATTACAGAAAGAGTAAATTTATTCAGTAAAATCCTTTTTTATAATGCCTTCATAATCCTTGCTTTCAGTTCATCTTTGGTGTTACAAGGAGTTTTGTTGGTCTTTCCTCTTCTGCGCTCCACACATAATAATCAAGGAGGTTGCAGACTGGGGAGTTAGGTGACCAAATGTAAAGGGTGATGTGATCGCAGAAATTGTCTTACAGCCATGACTGGGTTCTCCTGTTTGTGTGGCATGGTGCTGAGTCTTGTTGCCAGACATAAGGTTTTTCAGCAGCCACCCTCTTTAACTAGGGCAGCCCTACCTCCTCAAGACACTTCATTTAGGCCTCCGTATGAGTCCTAAACACTGTTCTGCTATCCATTTTCAGAAACCCGTTAGGTTATGCGCTGTTTTTTCTTCCCTTTAGCCTTCAATATGCCCTGAGAGGGTTTAAATTTCTAAGCCCTCTTTTCTCATTATGTGCCTTATTGCGATCGGTAAATGGGAAGAGATGACACTGAATATACAAGATGCGATGGATAAATTGTCTAAATTACGCAAAAATGAAAATAGCACTGACATTTCATTTTAACAGATATATTTTACCAAAATTACACAAAAATAACTTGGAATACTAAAGAGTAAATTTATTCAATAAAATCACCATTAGCTTCAACCATCCAGACGTCTTTGGAATCTCCTGCAACTCTTCTGGACGGTCTCTTTGTTTAAGTTGGTGAATGTCGCCATAATCCTTGCCATCTTGTTCATCTTTTGTATTGCAAGGAGTTTTGTTGATTGCTCGCTCAACTGTACCCCACACATAATAATCAAGCGGTTTGCAGTCTGGGGAGTTAGGTGGCGAGATGTAAAGGGGTGATGTAGTCGCAGAAATTGTCTGGGAGCTCCTCCTTGTGTGGCATGGTGCAGAATCCTGTTGCTAGTCACAGGATCTTCGAGCAGCCACCCTCTTGACCCTGGGCAGCACTATCTCCTCAAGGTACTTGATGTAGACCTCCGTATTGAGCCCGAGGCCCCGTGGAAAGATAAATGGAGGCATAGCGTCGCCAGCACTAGTGATCGTTCCAAACACCTTCGTAATGACCATTAGAATCATCTAACTCTTTCCGAATCTTCTGTACTGTTCCCAGATTGACATCCAAACACTCTGAAATGTTCGTATTGGAGCTTTCAGAGCGAATGGTAAACAGTACTGTATGCCGTTTCTAAATTTATTGCGAAGTGAATTGCGTCATTTTTTCTCACAAAGAGTTCCGAAGTAGCCCTACGTTACTGTACAGCCAACAAAATAAAAAAACAAACAACGCGCACGCGCGAAATAAGAAAATATAAAATGGCGACAATTTGCTCATCGCACTCTTTACGTTCCTGTTTTTTTTTCTCGGGTATTAATGTAAAATTAAAGCAGAAGGATAGACTTGAACTTGACTCGCAGATTCCCTTTTCCGTGTCGATAGCAGTGACGCTACACGTATAGGAAGTCAATTTTTCTTTGGCCATTTCTCTCCTTGCATTCAAAAATTGTTTTAAATATTCTTTGAGCTAATCAGCTTTCTTGTTAAACTTCAGTAAGTTTAAAGGCTTCGCTAGAGGTAGTTTCACACAACACCTCAAATTGCTACAAAACCAAAACTTTAATCTGTTAACACGAATCATGTTCTTAAATCTCCTCATCAAATTGCCATATAGATGCCATACGCAGTGCCAAACCGTTCCGAAATATATAAACTGTCAAAGTTATATAACAGTTTTCTAAGATGGTTAAAAATGGTTTTGAGCGAGTAAAGCTTATGGGACATGTCGAATACCACGTTTCTTTTAACCTTGTCGAATGCCACTACATAATCACAAAGAAAGAACTGTACAAGTTAATAGAAACATTACTTGAGGACTTTCAACAGCAGCAACAGCTAAAATTGCTATCACATATAACTCGAAGAGAAAATAGAGATGTAGATATTCCACACTACTTCAAATAAAAAGTTAGGAAGGACACCTTCCCCTATCGTTACTGGAAAGAACGATAAAAGTAAATGGACTTGAGAAACCTATTTTCCTGGAAAATTGTTTTAAGAGAAAGATTTTATAAATTTCAACTGACAATAGTACTAACTGTTCGATGAATGGTGAATGTTTACTTATAAGGAAACGGTTACTATTGCCATCACCATTAATGTGGGTGTAGCGTCGTAGCTATCGGTGCAGGAAGTGGAATTAGAGAGCAGGGTTCTAATTCCTTTTGCGTTTACTTTCGTACAAATGCTCAATGGGTTAAATAGGAAAGGAAACTGAGTTTGCTAACCTTTTTTTTGAAAACCTGCCTAAGAAAAGGGAATCTCTGCATCGCAACAGAAAAAAACTCCAATATATTTCCCAAAGAAATTATTCACAGATAATAAAAAAAAAAGGAATCAGTGGAGAGTCATGATCGCTAATTTTCCGAAGAGACATGGCAAGAAAAAGTTTTAATATTGGATATGAATCGATAATATTTCGCAAAATTATGAAACAACCATAGAAAATGAAAACTGTAACAATGATGATGATCATTGAGATTAGCTTCCTAAACATGTTTCTTTTGGTAAGACATTTTCTGATTGATTTGACTTTCTTTATTCCATCTTTCTTTTCCATTCTCTTTATTTTTTGTCCTTCACTATGCTTACTCATGATTGTTCTTTGTGTTCTTTCTCTTTTTAATTTGTTTCCCCCTTTTTCTTCACTTCTTTTTTCTTTTCTTTGGTTTCTACTCCCTTTCTTTTCTTTCTTCTTCTTTTACCTTCTCTCTTCGTCTTGTACCTTTTCCTTTCTCTCTTCTTTCCGCCTTCTACTCCCATTCTTTCTTTTCCTCTTATTTTCTTTTATCTTTTCTTTCCGTCTTCTAGTCTCTTTCTTTTCTTTTCCTCTTCTTTTCTTTTATCTCTTCATTCCGTCTTCTTCTCCCTTTCATTTGTTTTCTCTCTTCTTTCCGTCTTCTACTCCCTTTCTTTTCCTGTCCCCTTCTCTTACTTACTTTCTTCTTTCCGTCTTCCACTCCTTTTCTTTTCCTTTCCCTTTCTTTTACTTTTTCTCTTCTTTCCGTCTTCTACTCCCTTTCTTTTCCTTTTCTCATTTTTTACTTTTTCTCTTCACCTTTCCCATTCCTTTTTAGCCTTCTTTTCCATTTCAAGTTTTTTTTCCCCATTTCTTCACTTTCCCATTCTTTTTTTCTTCCTTTTCATCTCTTTCACGCGCTTCTTTTCCCCCTCCAATTCTTTTAATTTTCTTCATTTTGCTTTTGGTTCTTTGAGTCGAAATTTTGGCACTTGGCTCAATTCCATCCTTGCAGGAATTGTTCTCTTTTATGATATTTAGCAATTCTTTTTTTCTTATTTCAAAGTTAAAGTAAGGGAGTTGTCGCTACTACTGCTACTGCTGCTGTAGTTACGGCTGCCATATTTATTTTATTTTATTTTATTTTATTTTTTTTTGCTCAGTTCAATCCTCCAGCAATTTTTAGAAAATTGATGAAAAAAAAAGAAAGCAGATATTTTTGTTCCCATTTTTCTAAAGAGTTCAACAAGAGAGATAATCTCAAGTGTTTGTACTCTAAGACACAGCTGTCAAACAACGCACGAGCACCCAACCCACATGCCCAAGTCAAAAATTGGTAAAAAGTATATAGTTAACGAATGAATAGGTACTTCAGTTCACACACGCGCGCACACACAAATACACATTAAAATACACAATTTGTATATTATACACTCATACTATACATAAATGACAGATGCTGTATACTTAATATATACATGTTTAACAATTTACACACACATACATAATGATAATATGAAGAACAAATAGGAAACGTATATCAATCTAACATGTTTTACTTTTATTAAAGCATCACCAGAGATTGAGAGAACACAAACAAAAAGATAGAACTTTAGTATTTTTCAATTTTGTTTGGGTCAATTCTCATTAGTCACGTATCGTAAAAACCTTGGATAATTCTATATGCATGTAAGTTTGTAAAGATTCTTGTATATCTAAGCGGGCATCATATGATAATGTGTATTCGTAATTATGTATGTGTGTCTGTCTAGTGTGAGTTCTAATGTTTAAATCTTTGTACGGACATCCTTGTTTTGGCATTCTACCTTTATCTGGGACTGTTCGTTTTATGATCATTCATACGCTATTAGATATAAGTTAGTTTCTTTAAGAATGGATTCAAAGAAGGATAGTGATGTAATGTAATGTTTTAGGTTTGTGTTTATAGTTGGTAATCATGTTATTATTAAGCTTTCAACGTATTTTTAATGAATTATGTCCTTTGTAATTAGGTTGGCTTTTAGTGAAATCAAAGTTATGTTCAGCATCATTTTTATGCAATACGAGAGAGACCAATTACCCAAACGCAAATCTATTTGTAAATACTGGTTTATATATATATATGTTCTTCTAGACTCGATGAATTATATATATATATATATATATACTGAAGAGCTGTGATACAGCGAAACAGTACTGTCTGCGAATGACATAATTTAGCTCTTGAAAATATATTTTCAGTTGAGCACTGTTGCATGACAAATAATTCTAAAAACAAGAGCCACCTGCGATAATGCAAAGTTCTTCAGTAAAATGAATAGAGCACTTCGGTTGTTGTACGTTTGTTTACATTTGTAAGAACAATGCACTAGATTTGGATAACTCAATCTGTCGAGTTAAGATAGACTCTGACTGACATCAAACCGGTTGGGTTTCAATCCGGGCTTGAGGCATTCGGTTGTCTAGTCGCACTGAAGAGCTGTGTTACAGCGAATCAGTAATGTCTGCGAATGATACACACACACACACACACGCACGCACGCACACACACACACACACATATATATATATACAATTAATATATATATATATATGTATGTATGTATGTATGTATGTATACAACTAATTCCTCGAGTCTAGAATGATCCTCAACAGAATGCGGAAAGCACTGGGCGGCTGTTTCATTCTATGTGGGACTCATCAGCAGTGCGCATCCACTATCGAGAATCGAACCCGTTCAATTACGATACGGCACCAGCGACATACCAACGGGTCTCGATGAGAAAGAGGTGACTTGATATAGCACTGCTCTCACTTTCCGTGGTGTAATTCATCCGAGAAAACCTCTCCCACAGGACTGTGCCCCCTCCCCCTACGAGCGGCGTCTTCTTTTCCCCAGCTGCTCCCTCTCATGACATTAAAAGCTGGTTCAAGCGTTGATATACAAACACTAAAATTATTATTAATTCATCGAGTCTAGAAGAATCTTCAACAGAATATATATATATATATATATATATATATATATATATATATATATATATATATATGTCAAATTTCAAGTGGGCAATGACCAACTACGACTGCCAGTTTCATGCGTTTTGTGTGCAATATTAGGCAAACTCTTTTGGGAGCTGCTTATTCTTATTTCTAATTACGTACATACATACATACATATATATATATATATATATATATATATATATATATATATATATATATATATATATATATACGTGTATGTGTGTGTGTGTCCGTGTGTGTTTAAGAGATTCATATGTACAAAATATAAAATATATACAGAATACCTTCCTAATATACAAATTTATCGGTCTGGCACAGCGTGTTGGTTAGTAAATTAGTTTTGTTAGACCATGATCACCCTGTTTGTGTGGACTAGTGCAAGACTAAGTTAAACTTACCATTATACAAATACATATAAACAAATAATGCATACTGGTAATATATATATATATATATATATATATATATATATATATATATATATATATATATATTATTTAAAATATAAATTATTATATTATAATAGAAAGGAGAAAAGAAATAAAGAAAGTAAAAAGGGGAGTATCCTAGAAATACGTAAACACAAAATGTGCTCGATGCAAAATATAAAATATATAAGATATAAAATGCAGAGCGAGATGCCTTGGAAAAAATCTCTCACAACCACGCTACCCGGGTTTCGATCGCTAGATCTCCTCAGGCAGGTTGAAAAAGCTTTAGTATAGTGAACTCCACAACAAACTTATAGAACACCGGAAGCTGTATGGTACTGGTGGGAGTGGGACTTAGAAGGAGTAGGTTCAGAACACCAGGAAGTGGATGGTATTGGTGGGAGTAGGACTAAGAAGTGGGAGGGTCGCAAAAAAATAATTTTAGGGGAAAACACCCATCCGGGCTCGTAATTATTCAATAAATATTTGTGTAAGTGCTTGCACCCGGTTAGTACTTCAGTTCTTTCATTGAACAACACTTGTCTGGATAAGTTTCTATTGCCAGCTTCTCCTCCTGACATAGGCGGCATCCTTTACCACGGACTCTGCCCGGGTTGAATTTTCTAATTATCTTCCACTTTACACTTGGATCTCTACCGTTGTTTGGTTTCTAGCTCCAGACGCAATCCGCCAGTTTTGTATCACTTTTGTGATCTCCAGTCTATATGTATAATTTTTGTATCTCCACTCTAAATGAGGTAGTATGATTGTAAAACCTCTTTTTTAAGGAGCCCTCTGTGGAACCAATGTACACTTTTCTGAAGCTGCTACCGTCACTAACTTCTGTCGAATAGACTGTACCCGTCTTACGACACCCGCCATTTAAATGACAAATGTTTTTGTTCCTGCAATTACAGGGTAAATCTTTGTCTTTATTGCCATCATGAGCCTCCATAATTTTCGAATTGTGGTTTTTTACAATGTTTTGTAAGTTGCTCGTGCAGCTGTAGCTTAGATTGACGGTGTTTCTATTAAACGCATTTGCCAAAATGGAGTTTCTCGGGAAATGTTTATCGAGCAGATGGAAAAATATACGGCCGATCTTGGTTATTGAAAGGGCTACTAGTACGGTTTCACCACACATAAAACCAAATACTATCTCTAAAGTATGTAAATACTAAATCAAACCACACTCCAAGTGTTATCAACAGATCCCCAGAGCAGTTCAGCGCAGACATATTTTTAAATATGAAATATCGTCGAATATATATATTTATATATATATATATATATATATATATATATATATATATACCTATTTAGATTGAGCCGCTCGATAAAATCCAAAAACGAATCAGCAATATTATTAGTCCTGACCTGGCGGCTCGGTTTTAATTACTTTCCATCGCCGTTATATCTTTTCTATAAATACTTTCATGTTAATTATTCAGTCTTCGCTATGGTACCGAGAGTTTTTGAATTTAAGCCCAGTTGGCGTCCATGCTTTCCAGTCAACTTTAATTTGCAAAAATTTAAATGCAATGTCAATCGCTATCTACTGTCCTTCTGATTACTCTTTCCTCTTTCCACTCATTATTAATGTTTCTGTTCCTAATTCTTCCACGCTCTGTAACCCCTTGTGTCTTAGTGACTTTACTTCTTTGCATGGGGTGATACCGATTAAAAAATATATTATTATTATTATTACAAAATACATAAAAACCTATTAAAATAAACAGTTCAATATGACAATGACGCCCATAAGAAAGAAGAAATGTAGAATAAAATGACACCAAAAAATAGTTTTGACGTCAGCGATAAATGATATCTGTTTATAAATTAAATTGATCAAATATAACTGACTAATTTCAGGAGTCAATCATTAGCCAATGAATATTTATTAATGAGTCGTGATTAACTTCCCCTCCCTGGGCTATAAGTGGAGCTATGATTCTCCTCATTTGAGATTGGAGAAGTTTCTCAGCCCCGGATATTCCAATCGTGCAGCACATTCCTCATTGCACAAAAGAGGTTCGGTCGATGCAATACCAATGCTAGCATGACTGTAGTCATAGGGGCTGGGCAAAAATCACTTTTTGTCCTTGGCCCATATGAATCAGTATGGTGCTCCCCATATTAAAACGACCTTGTGTCACATCCAGCCTTGGTGCAAACGCCGAGTAAATATAATCTAATTTCTGAGTTGGGCGCCCCATACTTACTCAATTTTTATTCCTTTTTGAATGCTTTGTTTCTTTTATTTTTATTACTGCCCCCCGCCTCCAGCTTCATTACATGCGTAAGTTTTTATAAAGTTTTTAAATAAAGTTTTTAAAAAATGGGGGAAAAATATTTGTTCATTTGAAGGAATTTTTAAATTCTA